TGTTGAAGAATTGATAAATTTGATGTCTAAAAGTCGAGAGCTTTTCGATCAAGATGTTCCTTTGAAAACCTTTTCTCCTTCGGAGTCGGCCATGGATATCCAAGCTGTTACAGACAAGACTGTTAACTCTTTCAAAGAGGTTATTTCTTTACTAGGTCGACCGAGGATCGGCCATGCTCGATTTAGACGAGCCCCTGTTTTTCACCAAAAACAAGACTCACAACAAGCTGTAGACAAGATTCAAGAGTCTGGGTCTCCTTTCCAAGTAACCAAATATCAAGAGTCAGCTTTCAAGCCTTTTTGTTCGACCCAAGCTGTAGTTTGCCACCTTTGCCTCCAAATCGCCTCCATAAAAAGCAGTACTCATTTGAGAGCAAAGACCGGTGTTTTGGAGAGAATGAATCGGCTAGTGCCATAAATTTCTCATCTTCGCGTTCTTTGTCCGCTGGGAATTCAACTATGTCTTCCTCTTTGAAAAGGAAGTGTAATTCATTGGATGCTACTGCTCTTAACTGTGGTTCATCCTATGGCCGTTGCCATTGCTCCAAGAAAAGGTTGGTTTTCTGAGATTCTTTTTTGGGGTCATAGGTGCAATTTGAATCGTTCAATTGATTTGATTCCCAAGTCTGAACCTTTTGATTCAATTTTCATTAGGAAGTCAAGAGTGAAGAAGGTCATCAGAGTTGCTGCAATTAGCAGCAAGATAGCCGATATACCTCCTGATGATTACTCGTGGCGAAAATATGGACAGAAACCGATCAAGGGTTCCCCTCATCCAAGGTTCGTAAAGATTAGTACTTTGCTCTTGCCCTCTTCAATTAACCGATCAAAACTTGTTACATTTTATGTTTTCTTGTGGGTTTTTTAACTAGCCGGTTACCTGTTTTACCAAATGCCCCAAATACACAATAAATTCAAGCCTGCACTTAATATCCTTTTGTTTTCAACAGCAAGTGCCATTGACTTTTATTTATGCCTACCGGGTTAATTCGTTTGTAAAGGCTGTGTGACCCCGCCTGACTCGTTTCTTTGGACAACTTTCAGGGGCTATTACAAGTGCAGCAGCGTCAGAGGCTGCGCTGCAAGGAAACATGTAGAGCGAGCTCTAGATGACCCAACGATGCTGGTTGTAACATATGAAGCAGATCACAATCATAGCCACAACATCACCGATGTGTCACCAGCTTAGATCCTCGGATCATCTTAGGTCCCCATCACTCATGCAACCGGCCATGAACAAAAATGGTCTCGAAACAAGAAGATTGTGTAATTGCTCTTAAAAAAAGGAGACGGTGTAGGATTCCGTATATTGGACATTGTTTAGTTAGAAAAAAAGAAAATAGGCATGGAATAGGAAACGTGTGAATTGGGTGGGATTTCAATCATGCAAGTAGGGGGTTTCTTTTATTTTTTTATTTTCTTATTCCCAATTATCACAATACTTTCCACCCTTTAATATATAGTATACAATGTGTTGATGGATCTTGCTTAAACTTTAATTTGTTCCAAGTTCCACTAAAACATTATTAAATGTATCTCGGTGATCATATTGATGATAACTGTTCTAATTAAATAAAGAGATAATATAAACCCATATATGGTAAGAGAGTATCAATATCCTTAAACACTTAACTAATTAATGGATCTCAAGACTAAACCATTATTGTTAGACAAATACTTGATGATCATATAGGAGTAAGACAATGGATCCGGACTTGGAGCGTTTATACAGTGAACTTTGCTTGGGCTGCCAAGATGACCTATACTCCAGCTGTTTTTGGGCTCATAGGCTCTTGTTGAGGCATGAGCAGCCTGGTCATGCTACATGGGTTGCCTTCTCCTTGTTCCTTGGGAAAACAGAATGCGAGCAAAAAACACTTTTGGGTCAAGAAAAGTTATAAAATGTAAAAAGTTAAGTTATTGTGTAATTTTTTAATAATAGAATACATTAGATTAAGAGTGGTTCTTATAATTATGACTAATCAAATAAATATCAATTAATAGTAATATCGTAGAGAAAGTGTGAGCTGGGGGCATTCCAACATTATGCTTTCTTTCTCCATATTTAATTTACCGGTAATCTAAGAAAAGTCAACAACCCAGTCGTCGCAAAGGACCCTTGACTTAGTCAACGCTTTGCTACTTGATATATGATTCTTCAACGGATGCCAACAATGAAGGAAAGATAAATATAAGCTAAAGCATCTCCATTTATATAAATAGTTTGCTTATTCCCTCGAATTAATTCATCCTGGACACCAACCAACAATATCTTTCTTCATTTGCTTGGAAGCCATGGCTGCTTTTCAACAACGTTTTTGCAAACGATGCTTTTCTACTTAAACTAGAAAAGGCAAGTTTGTTTGATCTGCTGAGCCTACTTTTGTCGCCTCAATTGGAAAATAGAAGATTCATAGATTGTCCAGGGAGTGTGTACCAAAAAAAAAAAAATAGATTGTCCAGGGAGTGGGAGCCAACATCGAAGCTTTCGAAAGCGGTGGACCATCTTCGTGTCTGTTCTTGTTCAGAAACTCCTCTTTTGGGCAACCAAGCCTATGGCCTTTATGGGGGATGCCATCGAGATGTGGCTTAATCTCTTATCTGCCAACGCTGGCCCCTCTCATTTCCTACTAAATCTTGCAACTGGTAAACTAGTTGATCAATTTTATGACCCGAGTTTCCCTCCCTACAAGAAAAATACCCTTTAATGACGTGCATTGTGCGTCATCTATGGGTGCGGATGACACACAAATTCCTGTCATTGAAGCCACCGACATGAATTTTTTATGACGCGCAATTATGTGTCATAAATTTATGACGCGCATTTATGACGCGCATGTATGACTTACATTGCGAGTCATTAAAGCTTCTGTCATAAATTAATATGATACACATTTGTGTGTCATAAATTTATGACACACATGTATGACTTATATTGCGCGTCATTAAAGCCCCCGCCATAAATTAAGATGACACACATTTGTGCGTCATAAATTTATGACACGCATGTATGACTTACATTGCGCGTCATTGAAGCCCCCGTCATAAATCTTTTGACATACATTTGTGTGTCATAAATTTATGACACGCATATATGACTTACATTGCGTGTCATTGAAGCATACGTCATTTAAAAAGACGACAAACGTTCGTGTGTCGTGATTGTATTTCAGAAATTATATATATATATATATATATATATATATATATATATATATTGTAGATTAACAAATAATCAAACTAAATCACATTGAATGCCTTATAATACTAAATCTATGTACCATATTATATAAGCAATCCATTTGCATACATATATTTACATTAAGTTATCAAAAATATTGTATTAATCATATGTCGATACAAAATATCAAGGCTTAATAAAGTTTGCCACATAAGATACCCATTCTTTGCGAATATCATCAATGTCATCATCCGTGTATTCTTTTTTCCCATTGCCAACCTAAGTAAAAAATATGAAATAAGTATATAATTTATACTTATTTAAAGTGAAGTATATAATGAACTATTAAAGAGTACTAAAATGACCAATTTTACATATGCATTCTTTGAAGCATAATAACATTATGCAAAGTCATAAAATCAATAGCATTATAAAAAATTCCAACTTTGTTCACAACAATATCATCACAAATAATAACCAAAAGAGAGTTCCTGTTACGTCTATAGTACTTGACAAAATCAAATTTTGGATTTTAAGTGCTACTACGTGTCAAATGCTTTCACAACTCCACCGAACATTTCAAATTGTTCCTTTAGACATTGATTCATATATCGACAAATAGTATCGATTGCCACATGCTTAAAACGTGTAATTAGATTCAAGAATTCACTCATTAATTACAACAGAATCTATCAATATATAGAAGCAAATAACAAGAAGTTTACCATCAATGTAATCTTTCACTAAGTTAAATTCACAATATTTTTAAGTTTGTTTCAAATTATAAACGATAACCTCCATTCCATACAGAAACATGAATCATCAAAATAAAAGAACATTTCAAACTACAAGGTGATAACTAGAAGTCTATAATAGCATCTAACTATGAGTTTTTCAGCAGAAATAAAAAAAAAGCATGACAATTCTTATTAATATGAATATACAAGATGTTATCGTAGATGAATTTCCAATAATATCATCCTACTTCAAGTCCATATGATAGTTGTGACTAATGTGTATGTATGATATGACAGATGTGTATCAGAAAAGTTTGCTTACATTCTTATTAACCAGCACTTGAAGTCCGTTCTCGACTATCTCTTTCATGAACTTACAAACATAATATCCACACTCGGTACCTCCCGACTGACGGGGACACTACAAACAGTTTACAATAAACGATTAGTCAAAATGAAAGCTGCAATTTAAACAAGGAATGATCGTTCGAAGTCCTCACCAAAACATTGATCCAATTGAGGCTAACCCTTTTATTAGATCCACTTTGAGCATTGTACAATTTCATTGCCCTATAAAAATTGATGAAATATATCAAAGAATATACTATAATGTTTCGATAATTTATGTTACTTACGCATCAATAACTTGCTTCAACTGTTGATGGATATTGGTAGGCCCTAAGGAATCAAGATAATAACAACTTGTTGCTTTCATATATATCACCGCCAACACCCAATGTCTTCTATAAAAACGAAAAACCAAATTAAGTTACTAAAATATATTGATAATCAAATGAAAAATCAAATGAAAAAACAAACCCGGGATTATATGGCACTAGGACGATGTCATTGTCCTTTCATAGAGACAATCGATCTGCAACGCTTCGAATTGCCTCATCGCTATTTTTGAATTTTGCCTTACGTCCTGATGGCGAGATTGCAGACGGGCTCATAAAACAAATTCCATGATCTCTTTTTGGCCCATTCTTGATTTCCTCAAACAAGTACCTATATATTAACATTAGACAAGTACGATGATTAAATATATTGTGTTTTAATAAAATTAAAATTATGCACTTACATCATATAACAAGTAAGCGTTCAGATTGGTGATCAAGCCTAGCAAAGTTAACCACTGTGAATCCAAAGTCATCTTTTTTTATTCCACGACTATCAACCCAATCACACATGAAAACAGGAACAGTGAATATGCGATAATCAAGATCCCATATCTCCTGTATACGACCATAGTAAGTAACAGCTCCATACATGGGATTGGAATATTTTGCACTAGCAATCTGCATAACATGTGCAACTAGAGATACTCCACTACATTGAGTTGTTCTTGATTCATCTCGAGATGTTGTATGGAACCGATACTCATTTATGGCAAAACCGCTATATTTCTTCACAGCAAAACTTGGCCCTTTGGCCAACCAACGAACACTCTCACAAATGTCTTCCCCGTTAGCGAAATGTGTATCAACCTTGGTCTTAAGCCAACTAATAAATGTTCGACTGCGCTGAGTCTGCAACCATTTACTATTTCGAGAGGCACGGGGGTTATGATCATTCAATTCCAACATATGTTGCCTAAATAATATTTGAAGATAGAATCATATTAGAAGTTAGAAAAAGTTTAATGCATTACATAGAGTACAAAGAAGACACAGTGGTTCTTACTCTATATACAGCTCCACATCAGCAGTATTTCGTAATACATAAAGATGAGCTTCATCAAGTAGCTTAGCATCTACACCCTCGACTGTACCCCGTGATAAAGGTTTGCCGGTGCGAATTCTTTCATCAACACGTTCATGAGGATTGCCAATTGATTTCATATTTTTTAAGTAGTCTGAGAAAAATTCCAAGGCTTCCTCTGCCACATAACATTATGCAATACAAACTTTGGGTCGATGATGATTCCGTACATAGCCTTTGAGTGTTTTCATGTATCTCTCAAATGGATACATCCACCTAAAATGAACCGGGCCACATAACCTCACCTCTCTAACTAAATGCACCATCAAGTGGATCATGACATCGAAAAACGAAGGAGGAAAATACTTCTCTAACAAACACAAAGTTAATACGATGTCACTTTGTAACTTGCCTAGCTTATTAACATCAATGACTTTACTACACAACACGTTGAAAAAATGACACAAACCTATGATTGTTTTCCTCACTTTCACATGTAACACCCCCTTTATTGCAAAAGGGAGAAGTTGTTGCATCAGTACATGACAATCATTAGACTTCAAACCATTCATCTTTGATACATCATCAGACACGAGATTCTTGAAATTTGAACAGTACCTATTAGGCACTTTTATGGTAGACAGGGTCTCGTAAAACTGGTGTTTTTCCGTGGTATTCAATGTGTAGCACGCAGGCGGAAGCCAAGTACGATTCCCTCTTGGTTGAGTTTGTAATTCAAGCTTAATGCCCATCACCTCAAGATCTTGTCGTGCTCTTAACCCATCCTTCGTCTTGCCAGGCAAATTCAACAATGTCCCATAAACACTCTCACACACATTTTTCTCTATGTGCATAACATCTAACTGATGACGAACGAGCAACTTCTTCCAATATTCAAGTTAAAAAAAAATCAATTTATTGTGCCAAAATTTAGCTCTCTCATCGATGCTTTCTTTTTCCTTTTTTGATGTTTTATTCTTAGACGTTGTCTTCTTACCCCCTGAAGTCTCAAACCCCGTCAGATAGTCGTAAATCTCTTCACCTGATAATGGTTGTTTTATAACACCATCCTCTTGTTGATTGTTGAAATATTTTTTTCTTTTACGAAGAGGATGTTGAAGTGGCAGGAATCTTCTATGACCAAGAAAGCATACTTTTTTCGAATTTGGCAACCACTGTGAACAAGTATTCTCTGAACATATTGGACACGCATAATAACCTTTGGTAACAAACCCCGAAAGATTACCATATGCAGGAAATTCATTTATAGTCCAAAGTAAAATTGCTCTTAGATTGAAGTATTCTTTCATATAAGCATCATATGTCTTCACGCCAGTTTCCCACAAGAGTTTTAGATCTGCTATCAAATGGTGCCAAGTAGACATCAATATTGTTACCAGGTTGTTTTGGACATGATATCAATAGAGTCAACATCATGAATTTTCTTGTCATACAAAAATAAGAGGGTAGATTATAAGTTATTAAGATAACCGGCCAATAACTATGCTTGGAACTTAATGACTTGTGAGGATTGATACCATCAGCGGACAAGGCTAATCTAAGATTCCATTTTTCTTCTCTGAATTCTTTCCACGATCTATCAACAAGCTTCCAAGAGGGGGAATCTCGATGATGACTTAGCATACCGTTATTAGCCCGACCTTGTGCATGCCAAGTTAAGTTTTGTTCCATTTATGGTGACGAAAACATTCTCCTAAATCTGGGGATGGGAGGAAAATACCACAAAACTTTTTGAAGGTACGTTTTTGGTATTCTTCTTCCAACGAGATGTGCCACAAGTTGGACATTGAGAAGCATCCTTATGTTTTTTCCAGAATAGAACACAATCGTTTTCACATGCATGAATTTTTTCATATTGTAGACCTACTCCTTTTAGCAATTTCTTGGCATCATATAGGGAGTTAGGTATTCTATTGTTTAATGGTAAGACATCTTTTAGGGCACCTAATAATACTTCAAAACTAGCCTCAGACCACCCAAATTGACCCTTGATATGTTGGAATTTCAATAATCCTCTAAGTGCATTATACTTTGACCCTACGTAAAGTGGCTTCTCACATTCTTCAAGAAGTGACTTCAATGAATCAGGTTATTTTTCTACATCTCTGAAGGCATCATGTAGCATATCTCTTGTATAATCAAAGTCGGGAGGAATAGATTTGTTAGGGCATCTAGAATCAAGATTGGGCTGTCTTTCTCCATGAAAAGACCAAACCTTATAACTTTCATCGAAGCCATAGGCAAACAGATGATAGCGCACGGTCTGAATTGAGTGGTGCCACAAATTAATACAATGTATACAATGACATCGAATAAGATTTGAATTTGGATCATTACTTTGTGCAAAGTCTAGAAAGATGTTTACACCCACTTCATATGCATCAGATAACCTATCAGACGAAATCCATGCTTTATCCATCGACCATTACTTACCAACCTAAATAATTATAAAGTATTAGCAAAACTACAACTTTATAACTGATGATTGATGAAATATTTATGTAAGATATGAAGAACAAAATGTTTACCCCAAATTACCGAGTACAAAGTAACCCTAACAAATTCATTTTGTACTATGCTATAGAACAATGTTCAAGGGTCATGACCTATTCATAAAATCTAGAAAACCCATTTGAAACTGGAACAAACCCTAACAATGTTAGATAAATTATTGGTGTTAGCCTATTCGATATCTTCTAACGTTCTTGGTGTTAGCCTCAAAATCTCTGTCTTGTGAAGCACATGGTTGTAACATGAGAAAGCCTCATTGCCTATATTCGTAATCATCATTTAAAGAATGTTGCCTAAATCTAAGTTAATAATCGTATTTTACGATACTTGAATTCGGGTGTGAGCATCAGATTGGAGTACATGTCTGAAACGATTATATTGGACAGAAGATTCTTAAAAGTCATTTGCTAGTACCCATATGATAGACAAAAATGTTAGAAATAAACACTTAAAGAAAAGAATGAAAAGTCGGAGCAACATATAGTTACAAAATTCGACTAAAATAAATAATAAGATAAGATGCCACTAACCAGTATACCCAAAGAACTGTGGATATTATGTATGGGGCATTTCTTGAGAGAGACTCAGCAAAGGAATGTCATGTTCCATCCAATGATAACATCCGTGCCAAACTTATGCCAACCTACATTTATCAAAAACAAAAATTAAATTTCAAGAGCGAATGTTTAGTTAAACTAGCAAAACAATAAAAAGGAAACTATGCTACTCGAACGTAAGTATGAGTGTCAAATACAGGTATTATTAGATTTTTTAAATTTATTTCTATGCATTTAGAAGATCATTAGAGGTCATATCCACATATTTATATGTCCGACACAAAATTTCAGATACCGATACTTCAAATGAAAAGAAGAATCCAAACAACATAGAAAGCAGAAAAAGGCAGAAAAAGTTGTGTTAGTGAAACATTAAGTACCAATGCAAAGGACAGAACCAGATATTTAAAGCCTCTTCACTAATGAAAAGTCAACAACCGCAGCCATAAGCAACCAAAAGTAAATCCATCTGAAACATGACAATTAGGTAAAACTTGGAACCATTCTAGTTAGTGAATGAAATACATATGTGGGAACTGGGAAGCAGAGGCACCTCCCTCACTCATTTTTTTAAACAAAAGAATCCCAAACATAATATAACCTTCCAAAAATCCTCGAAATATATACTATTGTAGGGTCATTCAGACCTATATCGCTTGGACTCGGAAGAGAGTAATGGATACAAGATTCTTTTTGAGGTAAAAAAATCGAAATAACCCATTTAAACGAAGAATGAAATGAACAAATCAGTAGTGATTAAACAAATAATAGAAAATAAAACAAGCATGCATGCAACAAATCTCGATTCAAAAAAAACATATATGAAGTAAAAGCATCAAACCCATTAAATCAGAGAAAATAGAAATCAACAAACCCACAAATGTTGGAATAGAGAACGAGGATTACCTGTGGAAACCCTTGATTTTTGACTCCCTCGACTGCGTTGTGGTGAATGGCCAAACCGGTGGGAGGATGCAAAGACAAAAGGGGAAACAGAGAAAAATGGGGGGAAGCACGGCGTGAACTGATGAAAAATGGAGGAAGATCAAGCGCGCGGGAAATGATGAAAAATAAGGGGGGGAATTAGAATACGACTCCTAAAGATGACATACAAAATTCATCTATACTCCGTGTTTTTGTAAATTTTTTAGATTATGACTATTAAATATGACACACATCATTGTAAGTCATAAATCGTTCAGATTTTAAAAAACATTACATTTTTTTTATGACACACATGTTTTGAAAGTCATAAATTAGCGTGTGTCATCGTTCGTGTGTCATTAAAGGTATATTTTCTTGTAGTGCCTTTGTCTATATTCTTTAAGAAATCATTTCATTATAGCTTATAAAAAATATCTAATCAATCTTGGATGAAGCTGAGTTTGTTTTTGTCGCTTAAAAGGTCAAAAAACAACCATTCATAGACTCGGTTTTATGGTACAGGGAAATTAGAATGGCCAAAGAGATCATCGGCGATGTTTACATCGAGCATAGGAAGCGCTGACATCCGCACGGAATTAGATGAAAGCATTAAAGCAGATGACCCAAAATACAAAGCAGCGCTGTCTGCAATGGCTTCCAAGATATCCTATGAGAATGAAGCCTTCGTCCAAACCATAGTTACCCAACTTTGGAAGGTTCGTTTACCACTTATAATGGTTTTATATATACGTTGCTTGGATTTCTTTAAATATTCATATTTAAAATATTTATCTCAAACAAATTTAAATACTCTACTTTAAAATTTCATAAATGTGTGTGGGGTTTATTAAATTTTTGTTTCCTAAAAAAGGTAACAGAGATCCTTATTATTGTTGGTGCAGATGAAATTTGTAAAGTTGTATAATTTGAGGAATGGTAAGTTTTCTTTCTGTCACACACTAAATTAGAGCTTAAATTTTTCTTAATTTTAACTTTAAGGGCTAAATTGAAATTTGATTATAATTTGGGGACCAAAATGAATTTTTAATAAATTTTGGGTCTAAATTTGAAAGTTTAAAATTTGGAGGACTTGTGGTGTAATTACACCATTTTCCTTTTGTTGGTATAGAAACCCCTTTTTTCCTCAAAATTTTCATTTTTGAAAACTGTTCTCCCTCTCTCTTCAATTTTCCATTTTAGTATTTTCTCTCTCTAAAATCTTCAAACGCTATTTCGTCGACGATCGGAGCTCCGTTAACGACATCGCATATACCATTAGTTTCTTTGCATCGTTATGAGTCCAGCGGTGGTTATTTCATTGTTAAAATTATCAGCATGTGGAGGGGTGACGCAAAACAAGTTTTCGGCAAATCGTAATCGGGCTCTCCTCCATTCACCGTGGTGAACCGAGCTAGGTAAGCGACTCAAAATCCCTTAAAATAATTTTTAGGATTTTTTTTCTTATTTTTCCCCGTCGCAAAATGGCGTCGAACGTGCCCCTACGAGCTGCCCTTATACGTGGGGCTTGTCCACCGCATGGTGGACCGTCTAGAAGCGAGTCAACTGACCCGCATACCCTACCCATAAATCGTATTTGACCCGACCCGTACACCTGTCTGGCCTAAACCCAACCTAATCAACCCAACCAAACTGGTCTATTCTTAACTGAACCAAACCAGATTGAGTTGAGCCAAGTCTAGCCATTGACTTTGACCGTTGACCTACGTTGACTTTGACCGTTGATCGACATTAACTTTTTTCAAAAACCTTCCTCGTGACTTTTTTGACATATTGAGTATGATTTCGATGTTCGTTTTATCAAATTTTAATCCAAAAGCCATGAATTGAGCCCATTAAGCTGAAAATGCTTAGTATTTTTAACATTTCTACACTTTTATTCAAGATTTGATTATGAAATTAATATGAGGCTATATTTTTATGAAGGTACAGGAGATACCCCTGACCGAGGGCCATCTAGGTCCGGCACTACCCGTCCTGTAGAACGGTCCGATCTGAGTTATTCGAGAGTTACTCTTAGGTTTCTGTAAATTATTTGATTAAAGTTTTTTACTTATTTAATTAGGATTCTTATTTCAGTTATTCTGATTCATAGGATCTAGCACTGTCGCTGATCGCGATAGACAAACCCGAGAGTAGGTGACCGTCCCAAACTACTCAGTTCGGTTCAGGTGTATTCCTATTGATGTCACAGTATTGTTTTGACTATCTATCTAAACTATTTAAACTTTTTGAGATTTATATTTCGATCACATGATATCTGAATTACCGAATGCTTCTTGCATGATCTCTACTTGTCGTATTTTTGTATCTGATTCTAATAAATGGCATGTTTTAATATTTAAATAATTAAAATTACTATTCTTACTCAAATACATGCACTTTTACTATCATTAGGGGGTATGATTGGAGAATGTATCTTAGGTTTAGTCTATTACTTGTAACACTTTACCGCAGACTCATCTTGCTTTGTGTACAGGGTAAAGCATGATGAGTATTTGAGGATTGTTCTACAGACCTTGAGGGAGAATAATTTGTTTGCCAAGTTGAGCAAATGTGAGTTTTGGTTTAGCGAGGTGACTTTTCTGGGACGTATCGTATCTACTGAGGGTATTTGGGTGGATCCGAGTAAAATAGAGGCTATTCTAAGTTGGAAGCAACCCAAGAATGTCTCAAAGATTCTCAGCTTCTTGGGTTTAGTTGGTTATTGTTGTCTGTTTGTCGAGGGTTTCTCCATCATAGCAGTTCCTTTGACGAAGCTGTTGAGAAAAGAGGTCCCGTTTATCTGATTTGAAGCTCAACAGTCTAGCTTTGAGAAATTGAAGACGGTTCTGACTGAAGCCACAGTGTTGATTTAGCCTGAGTCAGGAAAGAATTTTCAGTTTACAGTGACGCTTCTTACTTTGGATTGGGATGTATTATGATGCAGGATGGGAAGGTTGTAGCTTATGCGTCTCATCATTTAAAGTCATATGAGTGCAGTTACCACACACACGATCTGAAGTTAGCTGCAGTGGGTTTTGCTTTGAAGATTTGGAGACACTATATCTATAGAGAAAAGTGTTATATCTGCTCTAGGTAATCCTTTAAACTTTAGTACAACTTTCTATCCATATATTGATGATCATTCTAAGAGAGTGATTCAGGTTTTTGAGGATATGCTGCGGGGTTGCGTGATTGACTTTCGTGGTAGTTGTGTTGACTTTTTACTATTAGTCGAGTTCTCTTACAATAATAGTTATCAGGCTAGCATCCACATGACACCGTATGAGGCTCTGTATGGACATAAATATCATACTACTATCTATTGGATTGAGTTACATGATAGGAGGATGTTGGGTCTAGAGTTAGTCCAGGAGACTGAGGATACTGTCAGATTGATCCGTTATTGCCTGAAAGAGACCTTTGATAGACAAAAATCTTATGCTGACCAAATAAGGAAGGATAATGAGTTTAAGGTTGGAGATTAGGTATTTCTGAAAGTATCTCTGTGGAAGAAGATGTTGAGATTTGGAGACAAGAGCAAGTTGAGTCCGAGGTTCATTGAGCCTTATAGTATTCTGAAGAGAGTCAGACTTGTTGCTTATAAGCTTGTACTACCTCCCCAGCTTAGCCGCATTCATGATGTTTTCTGTGTATCTATGTTGAATCAATACCGTTCGGATCTGGGTAATGTCGTTTAGATCGAGGATGTAGAGTTGAGACCTTATTTGTCCTACGATGAGAAGCTTGTTTAGATTTTGGATCAGGATGAAAGAGTTTTTCGAAATAGGCGGATCCTGATGGTCAAAGTTCAGTGGAGCAATCGTGGTCCTATAGAGGCTACCTGAGAGATATTAGAGTCGATGGAGACTCAATTTTCATATCTGTTTAGGCTAAATAAATTTTGAGGTTAACTTTCTTTTTAGGGAGAGAGTTGTCACACCTTAAATTAGGGCTTAATTTTTTCTTAATTTTAATTTTAAGAACTAAATTGAAATTTAATTATAATTTGGGGACCAAAATTAAATTTTAATAAATTTTGGGTCCAAATTTGAAAGTTTTAAAATTTGGAAGACTTGAGGTGTAATTACACCATTTTCTTTTTATTGGGTATAGAAACCTTTTTTCTCCTGAAAATTTCCATTTTGGAAACTATTCTCATTATTTCTTTAATTTTCCATATTTAGTATTTTCTCTCTCTAAAATCTTCAAACGTTATTTCGTCGATGATCGAAACTTCGTTAATGACACCACCTATACCATTAGTTTCCTTGCATCGTTGTGAGTCCAATAGTGGTTGTTTTATCGTCTAAATTATAGATGTGTTGAGGGGTGATGCAAAATAATTTTTTGGTGAAGCGTAATCGGGCTCTTCGTTGTTCACCGTGGTAAACTACATAAGTGACTCAAAATCCCTTAAAATAATTTTTAGGATTTTTTTCATATTTTTTCCCGTCGTAAAATATCGTCGCACGTGCTACCTCTGCACATGGGGCTTATCCATCGCATGGTGGACTGTCTAGAAGCGGGTCAACCCGACCCATAAACCTTATCTGACCCAAACCGTACACTCGTCTGGCCCAAACCCAACCGAACCGGCCCAACCAGATCAGTCATTTTTGAACTGAACCAAATTGGTCTAACTGACCTGAACTGGATCGAGCTGAGCCACGCGGAGCTGAGTCGCGTCGTGTCGAGTCGTTGATCGCCGACGTTGACTGTTGACTGGCATTGACTTTTTTTTGAAAACCTCAATCTTGACGTTGTTCAACATCTTGAGTCTGATTTTGCAGTCCGTTTTGCCAAATTCTCATACGAAAGCCACGAATCGAGCCCGTTAATCCAAAAATGCTTAGTATTTTTAGCATTACTACACTTTTATTCAAGATTTGATTATGAAATTAATCCGAGGCTATATTTTTATGAAGGTATATGAGATACCCCTGATCGAGGGCCGTCTAGGTTTGTCACTACCCACCCCACAAAACCGCCCGATCCGAGTTCTTCGAGAGCTACTTATAGGTTTCTGTAAATTATTCGATTAAAGTTTATTACTTATTTAATTAATATTCTTATTTTACTTATTCTGATTCATAGGATCTAGCATTGTTATAGAAACGATAGGTAGACCCGAGAGTAGGTGACCGTCTCAGACTACTCAGATCGATTCAAGTGTATTCCTATTGCTGTCACAATACTGTTTTGATTATTTGTCTGAACTATTTAAAAATTATGAGATTTATATTTCGATCACATGATATCTAAATTACCGAATGCTTCTAGCATGATCTCTGGTTACTGTATTTCTGTATCTGATTCTGATAAATGACATGTTTTAATATTAAATAATTAAAATTACTATTCTTACTCAAATACATGCACTTTTATTATTATTGGGGGGTATGATTGGAGAAAGTATCTTAGGCTTAGTATATTATTTGTAAGACCATACCGCAAGCTCCTCTTGCTTTGTGCACAGGGTAAGTCCTTACTGTATGCCCTTATACTATCAGTATAAGGTCCTTACCGGGTGTACATGTGGGTGTATTGTTCAGGGGAACCTACACATTTTGGTGTTCGAATGGGGGTAGGATCTAGCATACTTTGTATCATGAGGAGTGATCTTTCTCCAGTTTTGTATTAATGTATATTTTTTCACGTCTTTTCTTTTTTATTTTAGGTGACATGTGTTTATTACTACCTAAGTATCATGTATTATCGATATTTTGTATCCCGACATCATTATCCTGTATATTTATCGTATGAACTTTTATGATGGTTATTTTTAGTATTTTTCCGTTACATAGTCCTTATTTACTGAGATGGATTTGAGTTGCATTTTAAATATGAAAAGAACTTCTGAATACGACATGTGATCTTCTAGGATCGGTCGTAATTCCCAGACTGCGTCTAAAAGATTACACTCTCTTTCTATTTTAGAATTATAAATTGTCATTGCATATTTAAATGGTGTTTTTCCTGAAATATCACATATACCCTATAATATTCCCTATCAGACAACCTTCAGACTATTTTTCCCGATCTAACACCCTTTGTAGTAAGGCACGCCCCTTGCAGCGCTTTACGCTGATATGGCACCACGTGGGGTAAGGCGCCCCCCTACAACACGCTTTACACTGACATGGACACACGTGTCTAAAGCGCGGCCCATAGGGCGCTCCTTACGACACGTAGGGCTATAGCGCGGGTCAAGGGCCGCGCTTTTCAATTATCACATGCTCAATTATCATACATGCATAATGCAAGGCACGGTGCAAGGACCACACCTTGCATTATTTACCTCGACCTCTCGGTTTTAAAGCATCCTCTCTCGGCTATAAATAGCCCTCTCCCCGTAAACTCTCTCACAATTCCCTCTCAACCGAGAAATTAATACAACAATCATTTCAACCAGTAAATAACACCCGACAATCCTCTTATATTTAATTCAGAAGTTCGTTCGATCTTTCGTTATAAGGTAACTTTGTTATAATATTTTTCATTATACTTATTGTTTATTATGATAATTTGAAAAAAATATTATAGTAATTATTTTCAATTAATTTTTGTGCCAGTTCAAGGGGAAAGCGGGAGCATACGTCGAAATATTTTTGCGGTGTAGGTAATAATAGAAAAATATATATTTTAATTTATTTACGTTTATGCGTAAAAAATTTATTGTGTTATATTTTCGTTCATATATTATTTATTTAATTAGGTTTGTTTCAGTTGTTTTTTTACATATATAATATTGTCGCACTTTTAAACTCTAAGAATGACGTGACTTTTAGCTATTGTTTATTATGATAAAAAAATTCAAGAAGATGAAACCGGCGTTGTTTTCGTATCAAATGGGCATGTTAAAATATCATTCAAGAGAAACATAACTCTTGAGGAGCTGATAACGAAGATTTCGAGGAAGGTTCATGTTGTAAGTAGTAGAAAAATGTCATTGTTGCAGTACAGATTTCCAACATCATTGTTGCCATTAACTTATACAGCGTTCGAACTATCGAACAATGATGATGTTGAAATGATGGCTGATTCTCAAAGTAATTATTCAGACGGTGATATTGAGATGTATGCAAAGTTTGTTCAAGTGCGTGTTGTTCGGGGTCAGTCATTAAGCTCCCACTATGGGTTGGCTGAACAAGCTGATCAAGTTGATAGCCCGATTACAGTAATGTGTAATGATTTTAACGCCATAATGGGAAATCTGCATCATGGTGCCATCACATCAACTTCAATGGGGAGACATTCATCCGTAACTCCTTACGATATGTACCGATGTGGGTCCACGAATAATCCATATGGCAACATCGCGTCCTGCAAATTTCTTTGACCTTAATATGGAGATGCAATCGATGCAACAATCTGTGCGGTTTCCATTTGACACGATGGCTTCAAGATCCAGGGGAGGCATTCGACTGTGAGCTTTTTCGATCTCAATGTCGATATGCCTTCTAGTTCAAGGGGAAGGATTGCAAGTAGTAGGTTCTTCGACCTAAATGTGGAGAGCATGGAGGAACCATCATCTCCACCAGAAGAACCGCTTCGTGAGCTTGGTGCGGATGGTGCTGAGACTAGACTATTAATTCACCCAGAATCACCGTAATTCAACTCCGATGATGATGATAATGTAGATGAAGTTCCATTAAATGTAGCACAAACTGACCCTCCAGCATACATGTATGAAGCTGATTAGGGTGTAATGTACGAGCCAGAATTTGCGGATATGCCTCATCTCGGTAACTATGGATATTACTCATCAATAAATAATTGTGAGTATGCCTGCAAACGAACCGAACGCACACGAACAGAGGTATGTTCATGTTCGTTCATTTAATAAATAAACGAACACGAACATAAATGAACAAATTTTTTTTGTTCATGTTCGTTCATTAAGGAATATAGCTTGTTCATGTTCCTTCATTTAATAAATAAACGAACATAAACGAACACGAACATAAGCGAACATAAACGTTGGAGACCCTTTCTTCCATTGTTCTTTCATGAAAAATAGTCGATAATGCAAATCAACCAAATCTACAGTGATAAATAGCGTAAGAGCTGATTAGCAGTGATGAAATGTTTGAAGATATCAGATATTTTGATCGATCTTTTAAAGATATTAAATGATTCACACGACTTTAATTTAACGCTATAACATTTATCTTAGTGGTCCATGATTACATATGAACAATAATTTTCCACTACGTTATTCTAATAAATTCGCCGGCTAAAAGTTTTGTGACATCAATGTCAGACTTTAGTGAAATTTGTTAATAATGATCCTTTCCATTGGCAGAGTAGAAAATTTAACAGCATGAAGATTTCGAACAGTACAAATTGGACTACAAGGCAATAACATAGATCCGAATCCGATGCTACATATCTAACTGATATTATTGCTAAACCACCATTCAAAATTTTAACGTACCTAAAGTCTACTCCACAACTAAAGGTCACACAAGAACTATGAAAACAAAAGTTCATTTTCAAAGTGTATTTTCTACTTTTTAATGGGTTCTTCCTTGAAAACCCATTACTTCCGCTATTACACTCTTTTTCAGAAATTGCATAGAAACATTTGTTTTGTTTTTTTGGCAAATTCTCTATATTTTTCTCTTTACTGATGCTCATATACTTCTGATTGTTACCTTTATCTTCCCATCTATTTCTAGAAAGAAGTATGATATTTTCTTGAGTTTTAGATGTGAAGATACCCACAATTACTTTACATATCAACTATTAAGCCAAATAAAACAGAGAAAGAGATGAAAACAAACCTATAAAACTTCAGATTGCACTATAATATAACTTTTTTTGAAGCTTTCACCGATCGTCTCCACTCTTCAGTGGACACTAGGATTTGGGAAAAAAGGGGGAAAATGAATATAGGTGTGATATGCCTCATGTGTTAACATATTGAATTTAAACTCCAAATAAAATTGGGTTAATTATGGAGTTGGTAATCAGAATATCAGATTAATTAATATTTTTAAGATACTTACAAATTGGTCACCAAAATTGATTTAAGAAGATTGGGTTAAACATAAATGAACGAACATAAACGAACATAACCGAACGTTCACGAACGTAAATGAACAAACGAGACCTATGTTCATGTTCGTTCATTTAATTAAACGAACACAAAATCTTGTTCATGTTCGTTCATTTAATAAATAAACGCACATAAACGAACTTCCAGCCGCACGATTCATGAACGGTTCACTGAACATTCAGTTCATTTACAGGCCCAATGGTGAGTTATCTTTAGGCATGGAGTTTTCAAGCAAAGAAAAAGCGATGATGGCTATAAAAAATTACAATATCCGTAATTATGTTCAATCGAGAGTCGACCGCTCCACGACATAAAAATACGTATGATACTGTGCCCGACACGAAAACGGATGCAATTGGATGGTTCGTGTATCGAAGAGGAAGAGGAAAAAAAAACAGATGAGAACAAACAATATACAACGGTCCTCACACATGTTGTGCTGGAGGGGTCAACCAAGATCATCCCAACTTGGACTCTGAAGTGATATGCCAAACCATCATGTCCATGGTAAAATCAAGCTCTCATATAGTTGTTGTTGTGTTGATTTTAGCTATACAATCGCAGTATGGGTACACTGTCTCCTATAAAAAATCTTGGTTGGCAAAACAAAATGCCATTGTCAAAATCCATGGCGAATGAGATGCATCTTACAACGAACTTCCAGGCTGGTTTAGGCTGATGCAGAGGTTGAATCATGGGACAATTGTGGACTACGAAACCTCCTATGCATACCATAATGATCGAGTTCTTCGCTATCGATGCCAATTCTACCGGGTTTTTTGGACTTACCCACAGTGCGTTAATGCTGTCAAATATTGCAAGCCTGTGGTTCAGATCGACGGGACTTTCTTGTATGGAAAATACAAGCAAGTTTTATTATTGGTAATTGTCCAAGATGGCAATCGCAACATTCTTCCAGTTATTTTTGCTCTTGTTGAAGGAGAAGATACATATTCTTGGGCATTTTCCTCCGAAACTTACGTGCACATGTTATCACGAGGAAAAAAATCTGTGTCATTTTAGATCGCGGAGCTGGGATCAAAGCAGTAATGGAGTCTTTGGGTCCAATGTGGCAACTACCCTTTGTCCAACATAGGTATTGTCTCCGACACATTGTTGTGAATTACCATGGAAGGTACAAGAAGAATGATGAACGACAATTAATTGTGCGCATGGGTAAGTGAAACTGATGTAGTTTATTTTCTTTCGATCATTTTAATTTTGCAAATAAAGCAAGTTAGTAAGTTATACATTTTTTGATCAGGTTACGAACTACTTCCTCAAACGTTTGAATCAATGCTTCAAGATTTGCGGGCGAAAAACGAGGAAGGATACGATTACATCAGCCTCATCGATAAAGAAATATGAATGAACGCATATGATGGTGGATATCGATATGGACACATGACAACCAACTTGGCTGAAGCAATCAATTTAACCTTAAAGAGTGCATGTCACTTACCTGTAGCGGATTTGGTAAAAACTATATATTTTCGTTTGGGGGCGTTTCTTGTGAAGCTCGGGGGACAATCTCAAACCTGGATGCAAGGCGGTCATGTCTATCACCCTAGATTAGTTGCAGATCTACAAAAAAAAATTGCTGCATCAAATGGAATGTCTGTAACACGCTTCTCTAGAAGACATGAAATGTTTCGTGTCACAGAGTTACCGCGACCTCTTCAAGGGATTGAAGCTACGTCATTAAGAGTAAATCTACGGGACAAAACGTGTGACTGCGGGTTTTTTCAAGCTCTGAAGTATCCATGCTCTCATGTGATAGCAGCTTGCTCGCATACACGTTAAGACTATAACTGTTTTGTGAATCCTGTATACCTATTATCTGAAGTTTTTAAGGTATACGAATTTGAGTTCCCCTCTATAGGTAATGACAAAGACCCTGATGAGGTTCAGGATTGGCTTCCGATTATACAAAATCCATCTTTATTGAGGGAGCGTGGTCGTCCAAAATCCAATCGAATTCATTGTGATATGGATATTCGAGAAAGATCTAGACAAGACAGAAGATGTGGGTATTATAGAAACCCAGGACACACTAGAAAAACATGTTCACTTTTGCTGTCATCAAGTAACAATTGATGAGGAACTGATGTAGTTGTCATAAAACCAGGTGACGGTGGTGGCGACAGCATCGGGTAAGAGAACGGCGGTGGCGACATTACATATGGCTGCGGTATGTAAGTCGTTGTAGATGGTGGCTGCTGTGAAGGTCCTACTGGTGTAGCTGAGGATAAACCGAAAACACCTGCTCTCCGTCCACAAGTCGGGGGATGATGGTGTTGTGTCGGTGAACGTCTCTGTCGACGCCGCTGAAAGGTCTGCCCTCGTGCATCCTCGGAAAGCAGAAATGGTTTCCAATTACTGTTGAACCACTCATAATAACCCTCAGAAACCATCAAGAGGTCAGTAAAAATGGGCTCTGTATGGGGAAGGCGCCGATGTCGATCCTCCCACAGTACGACCCACTCATGATGCCTCACCAGCCAATCTATATCGGTCTTGCCGCATCTATCTATGCTATGCAACTAGTCCATATTGCGAGGTGCTTCCGGAATTGGTTGAAAATAACTAAATTGCCGGAGCACATGATCAGTGGAGTGCCACTCGACGATCGCATAACAGATCAAAGGGAACATCGCCATCCAAACATCTAATGGGCCCCCTCAACTCATGTGGGATCACCATCCTCACATCATCATTAGAATATGACACCAATTCAAACTAAAACAAATATATATAAATTTTATCAAAATAATAATCTAATTATACAAATATAATCTAAAATCAATTTTTAAACATTAAAATGCATATATGTGTGTCAACCTTCTGATCGATTAACACCCTAATTTTTTCTAAATCATCAGGTAGCTCCTGATGATTTTTCTTATCAGTAGACCACCTATTCAAGGAAAATAAAATTTATTACACACTGTATAAAATTATTAATATACGAAATCAGTTTTATAATTACCTCAATAGTAGCGGAAATACGAATGGGTTATTGACAACGGGACATAAAAAGGGCAATCGATACCATGCCCAAGATTGCAGCAGCAGGAGACATCTGCCAATAGCATTTTTCTTGTAGTCAGTGGCTCGACACATCTCCCTGTACAGGAAAGCCAAAACTGCTGAGCCTCAACTGAGTGATCCGGCCAGATGAAAGTTGCCAAGATGTTGCAACCACATACAGTGAACTTGGTTGCGCGATTTGTCTGGCATCAGCAACCCTCCTATCAGCTGCAGTATGCATGTCCATGCATACATTTTAACTTCATCATTAGAGGCGTCCTCGCTCAACTACCGAAAATTGTCATCTAACCAATTTAACGGTATCCGACCACCGTTAAAACTTTCCGGGACACGTCCTAGATAGTCCCGGCACAAAGCCGTCCATGAACTGTGCGACATCCCTGATATCACATCTCCATCCACCAAAAACCCCAGGTGCATAGAAACATCCTCAAGTGTAATCTTACACTCTCCGTATAGAAGATGGAGTGTGTGGGTCTCCGGCCTCCACCGCTCCACTAAGGCAGAAATAAGGTCTAGCTATATCTTATAGTGACCCTCATATCTACCTACGTGACAGAATCCAACCTCTACTAAATACGTCAAGACACGGCTAGGTATCACTTACTTAAGGTTCCTAATAAAATGATCTAATACACGGTCCCTCTCCTAAAATTAAATAATTACACAAATTAATTTTTAAACTAATAATAATGCATTAAATAAATAAATAAATTATTACTAATAATTTAAATTATATTAAAACGTTAAAATGTTACAGTATCAATAAAATGTTGCGATATATGATTTTCATCCAAGCGAAATAGACCTCTTCCATTTTATATATGCAAAAAAAAATTAATTAAATAAAATATTAAAAATTTTATATACTTAAATAAATTAAAAATAAAATATTAAATATAATAAAATATACCTTAAAAAGTTAAAATAGAATATAAGAGTATTTGAGAGAAGTTGAGAGGATTTGGTGGTATGAAAGTGATTGAGAATTAGGATATTTATAGGGAGGGGGTGGGGTGTGAACGACCGGGGTAGGTGGGTAATTAAACCTAAGGCGCGTCGCAGGGGACACGCCTTTCTGACGCGTGTCAGCATTAAAGGTAAAGCGCGACCCCTGCCCCGCGCTATACCCCACGTGACGCCAAATCAACGTAAAGCGCGTTGCAGAGGGCGCACCTTACCCCACGTGGCGCCATATCAATGTAAAACGCGCTGTAGGGGCGCGCCTTACTGCAAAGGATGTTAGATCGTGAAAAATAGTCTGAAGGGTGCCTGACAGGAAATAATATAGGATATATGTGATATTTCGGGAAAAATGCCCATTCAAATTCGTATGATTTACGAAAAGTATCTTTTAAACTTGCGTTATAAGTTAATAAACATCACTGTTGTTTTAAGTCAATGTATCTAACTTTCTTTATTTAAACATGTATACTTTATTTTCCAATTAAAATTTTCTTTTTAATTAATATACAAATCAATCATTTTAAATAAAGAATGAAACATTATATAAGTATAATAAGAGTAGAACCTATTAAATAGTTTAGAGTTAATAAAAATAATATTATTCTCCTAAAAATTATAAGTTTAAACGAATTATATTATTAAATAATCATTTCAGATTATTAAAAAGTATAATTTAAATAAAATATTTCAGGAAAAAACAATTTTCTTATATGACAAAATTTGCTTATATATATATATATATTATAACAAGTTGTATAAGATAATATGGGTTAGGCCTTTGAATAGGTCTTCTTCCAGCCCGGCCGTCTAAAGGTCAAATCAATATAGTAAAAATGTAAAAAATATGTAGTTGTAAAATCGGCATGTTCGATGACTTGTTTTTTCCCTACGTGTTGGGTGCTGTTTATTGATTAAAAATGCTGATCCTTGATCATTTTGCTTCATGCAGGTTACAGAGAACGTGATTCGACCCAAGAGTTCATTCTCCAAGACACACAAGCAAACCCAAACTTGTTTGTGGTAGCATTTAGAGGCACCAGCCCATTCGACGCCGATCTTTCCTGGTGCAAGCTTGAAGCCATGGGTAACTCCAGGGCCCATAACGATTTCATGCAAGCTCTCGGCTTGCAGAAGAACAAGGGTTGGCCTAAGAAGATCGATCAAGTCAACAATGGCGGACACCAATTTGCTTACTACACTCTTAGAGAAAAGCCGAGGGAAATTCTGCAAGAGAACGAAGAAGCTAAGTTTATACTGACGGGACATAGTTTGGATGGGGCTTTAGCAATCTTGTTTCCTTCAGTGCTAATGTTACACGAGGAGAAATGGTTGTTAGACAGATTGGGTGGGGTTTACACCTTTGGTCAACCAAGGATCGGGGACGAGAAATTTGAGGAATATATGGAGAATATGAGAAAATTTGATGCCAAATATTTCAGATATGTTTACTGCAATGACATGGTCCCTAGGGTTCCTTACGATGATAAAAACACATTGTTTAAGCATTTTGGACCTTACCTCTTCTTCAATAGTTTCTACGTCGGAAAGGTATGCCACAAATACGATTTCCTGACATCTTTATATATATTTTTTAAAAAAAATATGTTTATCATAATATTTCTTAATCATTAACAACGAACACATCCTATAGAGGCAACTGATTGAACTCAAAACCTCTAGAGATAATAACACTCTCTTCTTAATTGCTTAATGGATTCTTTAAACATGTTTACTATGCATCGTGTTTACGTTTTTGATTTCGGCATTGCAGGTTTTGCCAGAGGAAACGAACAAGAATTACTTCTCTTTGCTATGGGTGATACCGAAGGTGGTGAAAGCATAGGGGCTTCATTTTGCCTTACATGTACGGTCCAAACTAAGTAAGGTTAGTTTTTGAGATTGTTGGGAGTAACTGGATTAATAATACCAGGATTGCTCATTCCCCTCAAGATTGTCAATTCCACTCGATTGGGAACCCTGCCGGATAATCAACTACCTGTAAACCAACTTACAAGAGATTGATGACATCAATGAAAACAGATGATTTATAGTAATTTATTTGAACTCTTCAATATAACTTGTAAGAAATAGTGTAAAAGACACGATTGATAGCTCCGTTTCTATTTCCATGGCAAACACATACTGTTAAAGGGGGAAAAAAATAAGTATTTGAGTCTGACACCCGATTAGTTCATTATCCCTCGACTTAAATATGTACAACCTTTTGAATTCACCATAGACCTGTCTGTGTTCGGCGCAAGCATCGCTTCTTTGCTCCTCGTTGCATTTTCATCATCTCAGTTTCCTGTGGTAATCAAACAATTTAAGTAAAGATTTCAGAACATTCATCTCATGAACATTCATATATATATATATATATATATTAGTGTTCAATTAAACAAAAATCAGAACATTCATGACAAATAGCTAATCATATACGTGGAGCTTCGAAGAAGTTTTATACCATACCATACATCATAAAAACAGTATGATATAAGATATCCATACCATACCAGTAAAGTGAAACGAGAATGACAATGTAATAGATAAAAACAAAGTGAAGCTGACAGAACAGCCATGGAACATGGTGTGGACGACGATGCTTATTGGTATTTGTGTAGGGCATCAAATAAATTGTAATCAAATAAAAAGAGATATGGAAAGAGAACTTCTCGGCACCTGATTTTCTTGTAATTTCATCATTTGTGCCTGCAGCAACCAAGAACAGTCAACAAGAATGTAAGCATGTGTCCGCCATAACCAATAATTAGTAATGCCAAGAACTGAATGCACTGAAACAAAGAAGGGAAATGACATACATGTTTCTTCTGCAATTCTTCGTTTTCCTTGTTTAGCTTTGCAACTTCTGCTTCCAATTCCGTTGTGTAAGCCTAGTTGAAAAGCAAAGAAAGCAAAAACGGTAAGAAACTCGAATTCCAGACGACCATTTGATGAGATTGTTTTGTTTTGCTAGAGTTGGTTCTTTAGTATAAAATCTACAAGGTCAAGGGTGTTAATTAACATCAATGCTTTCATTGATTCTCATATGATGGAGCTTCAAAATGCTCCATTACCTTGTAAGTTGTAACAAAGATCCTTATAACTTCTCATGATCTTGACTTCTCAGTTGTTCATCTCTTGTCATGTCAGATAGCTATCAATGGCTAGGAAAACTCATAAAGCCATAACAGGACCAAACTGAGTGGGAATTGTAACTTGAAGTGTATCAAAACCAGAGTTCAAAATCTTTGAGACATCTTGGCACTACATATTAAACACAAGTTCTTAATGCGGAATTCCGGTGAAGTCTAGTCTATTTCGCAAACTACGGTGATGCCGGAAAAATTCTGGGTTATAGGATCCAGAGTTGACATAGGCACGTTATCAAAGGAATAGACTAACAGTTTTGGATACTACATATTCCAAGTGATATGCCTTACTCTAAGATGTACTAAAGAGCTATAAAGATGGAAACATTAGATGAAATCAAGAACATATTGACCTGCTTTCGAGCTCGTGATCTGGCAGCGGATTCTCGGTTCTTGATCATTCTTCTCTGCCTCCTCTCTGCAACCTTTTCCACAGTAGTGGATTTCCTACCCCTCAAACTTCCGTTAAACACACAAGGAACGGGTGAAACAGAGGAAGTGTCTCCACTACTCTTCCCAATCCCATCAGATGAAAGATGGTGGTTAGCAGGTGATCCAGTGGCAACACCAACTGCCCTTCCTAAACCTATCTCTCCATCACCACCCTGGACATTACCATTAATTAGACCTTGACCACCATTTTGCAAAGGCATCTGACTTCCATATTCCAAACCATATTGCTTAGGAAGAATCGGTTGCCTCTGCCGTTGTTGCTGATTAGGTAACTGCTGCTGGTTTGATCTAACTCCGTTCAAAGTCAAATTGGAAGGTTGAATAACAATTTGATGACCATCATTAGGAAGCCAATTCCCAATCAAATTTGGACCTCTTCCACCTTGTTGAAACCCAGTTCCAAACCCAGTATTACTCCCTGCTTGAGGTAATTCCCCAAAGAAGCTGCCATTAACATTATTAAGCTTCCGGGACAATTGGGTATTATCCTCTCTAACCACACCAGCCCTCACCAAAAACCCCTCCAATGTAACCTCCCCAAGAGTTTGCTGTCTCTGTGGCATATTATCAGTCACTCCGGTTCCAATCTTCCCGTCTTTCCCTACAGAGAACTCCTTTGACATAACTTTCCAAACTTGATCCACAGTTTTTTGGCTAAGCGTCCTCGGCAAAGTCAAAGACCCTTGCTTTTGTAACCCGCCATTTGCCTCCAGGCCAACGCTGGAAGAAGCCATTGTTTGAGTTTCTTCAGCGCTCCAAATGTTCTTCAACAACTCATCCATGTTCATTGACCCGAAATCCTTGCCTATTCCAGCCATTGTGCTTTGGAACTCATCTAAGGTCAGAGAATAGATTGATGGCTGCCTACTTATTGGATAATTCCCGGGAGGCTTATAATCACCTCCACCGCCGCCGGCGTCAGCTGTCGGCGGCTGGTTACTTCTAAAGTTCTTGAAGTTCATGTTTGTCCCCCAATAAAATATGGATAAAGTAGTGTAAACAAAATGGGATCAAGTCAAGATATATGTTTGGAAACTTTATAAATACAGTTGAACCAAGTAAATAAGAAATTTCCCATATAATTATATTAGGAAACATTTTCTATATTTGGGATGTTCACGTTTCAATAAAACTAAACAATCGAGATCATATGAAAACAACTATCTAATCCTTACCAGTTTTAACTTAGAAAGGCCATCAAAATCAAACTTTTTCCCTTTTCATCAAGTGCTGGTAAATTCCGACATTTTCATGTGTGGAAACAAATCTCTACTCTCAACAATAAGCAACTTGAATTTGAACCCCCCCCCCCCCCAAAAAATTATCACCAACTTGAAGATCTCAATGGAAACGTAAGCTTTTTAATTAGAACAAATAATAACGTACCAAATTATTGAAGGAAAACAGAAAAGATCCGAACCCACCAAACCCAAAATAGATTAATCATAATTAGGACAAATTAGTTGATTAATTAAAAATTAGGGTAAACTACACAAATAGTCATTGAACGTTTATGAAGTTTGCATTTTATCGCCTATTGTTCTTCAGATTATTGTTATCATTAAACAATCTGGTTGTATTTGCAATATGTGAAAATGATTTTTTTGTCTTTGCATTCTAAATAGTTCTCAGATCATCGACATTGGACAGTGAAGATGTTGATAATCCAAGCACTATTTGAGTGATGAATAAGATGAATACTGTTGATGGAACTCGAGAAATTGGGGAGGATAGTGTGATGAAGAAGATGAACAATGTTGGGATAGACTTTAACGTGTCATTCCGATTTTTCTTAACATCAGTTAACGACACTGATGGTAATTGAAGCGAATTAAAAATTTAATGATTGTCTTACAAATTTTAAAAGTTTAATAACCAAAATACAAGTAACAGAAAGTTCTAGTGACTAATTGTATGGTTTACCTTAAAAGTAAACATATTTTTTAAAGGCTTATCTCACAAATAATGACTTAAAGTATACATTCTTTTTCATTTAAGTATTTAAAATATTTTTTGATCAAAATAAATCCTTAAAGTTATTTTTTTGTCAAAATAAATATCTAAAATATTTTATGTCAAAATCGATATCAAAAAATTACATCTAAGTTCTAAAAAAGTTGACATGTGACATTAATTAAAGAATATTTTAGGTATTTAGATGAAAAAAATTGAATACTTTAAATACTTATTTTGATCAAAAAATATTTTAGATACTTATTTTAACTAAAAATATAAGTTTAAGTATTTATTTTGACAAAAAATACTTAAGATACTTTTATGAAAAAAGGATATACTTTAAGTACTTATTTGTTATATAATCATTTTTAAAAGATTAACGGAAATACATTTTTTCCTATTTCCATTTCTGGTTCTTGGCTACCGCCAAGTGTCCCTTTGTCTTTTTTACTTTATTCTTTTAAGGTAATATTTTAGTAATATTTATGGGGCCAGCTTGATCCCGCAACGTGGGCAAATTGGAAAAGAGCGGGCCGCTATGATGTGAGATCTGACCATTAAGCAGTCGAAAATTGGGATAATCTATACTGTCCACGTTTCAGAGGACAACGGTGGTGATGGCCTGAATATTTTGGGGGATGTAGTGGGCATTGTTGTTGGTTGGACTTGGATAGTGACGACAATAAATGCTAAAGCATGAATGGAGCACGCGTACATAAATGCTATACCATCAGTTAAACTACTATAAAGTTATCCGCGAGGGTTAATATAATTGGTTAAAATTTAAAAATTTGATCTTATAAGATCAAGTTCGAATCTTATTACTGTCAATCTTGATGAGTAATCTGTAAAATCTTATGTAAATCTCAATTGGATCTTAGGTATATTATGATCTTGGATTTAAAGAGCCACTCCTGACTTAAACATTTTGTAAAAAAAAGAAAAGAAAAACTACTATAAAGTTTATATTTCAGCTCTATCTTATTTCAAAATTTATGAATTTTGATTGTTGTTATTGATTTTGAGTTTCGATCTGATATAACAAGATAATTTTGTATTAATTTATGATGATTATAAGTGATAGTATCTGTTCGAAAGATTCTTAATTATTTGACAAAAGAGTGTTTAAATATCTTTGTAATTATTGATGTTCTAACATAGAATCTACAAGGGTAATAACAATCCCTTTAACCATTTAAATAATTTAATATGTGCTAACATAGTAATTAGATAGTATAAATTTTGATTTTTGCTATTGACCTTAAGATTTGATTAAAAAAGAAAATTATTTTTTTGTATATTACAGAGGTTATTTTATTTCAAAGGGTCACTAATATTATTATAAGATTTCTTTTTAAATTTTAAATTTTATATAATTTTAAATAAAGTTAATAAAGATTATTGGTTGAGGTTTGGATACATGACCCATAAATTCAAATGTAAATCTTTTATTACATTAAACCAAAGTGTAAACAATATAGTAGTATAATAAGGGATGTACGCAAAATTTATGTTAGCTTGACGAACTTATAAAATTTTGAAAGAATAAATGTATAAAATTTTAAGAGGATAAAAACAAATTTTCAATATAAAACTACAAAGAAAATATCTAAAATATTTAGAAATTTAAAATTTTCAAGGACGACCGTCCCTGTCTAGGCCCGTCCTCGAGTAAAATCCTTAAAGATATTTCGCTAGTTGATAATCTAAATTTGAGTAGCGTAATTTATATGAATGCGTGAGTTTAGACCTCTATATTTTAAAAAATATAGTTGTAATTTAACTTTTTGTACCATTTAAATACCTATTAATAAAATAATAAAAATTTTAAATTATAATTGAGTCATCTGTACAGTATCCCTATTTTTGGTAAGTTTTATTAATTAAAATTTATTTTTTGAATGACAAAATGAGTGAGGTAGAGCACAAGGTTCTTAACATTGAGGTCGTGGGATCGAGTCTCACGGAGGGCATTTCATAATTCGGAGGTCTCCTACGGAAGTTGCTCTCAACCTAGTATTGGGGGCAGCCTACTATCTTACCTCTCCTTACCCCATACATATGGGAAAAAAGGACAACCAAAATTGAGAAAGTATAATAAATTTGTGGGTTACTTCAATTTAGTTTGAAATACTTAAAATAATTAACTCAAGTCATTTAAACTCTATTTCATCAATATATGTTTAGGAGATACGGATATAGTTGTTTCCGGTACTAGTTATAGTTGAAGAATTAAGGTTTAGAATTGCCATTTATATTTTTGTATGCTACTTTTTTTAATCAAAATTTAAAGTTTAAGATTAGAGCTAGAATTAAAATTTTATTAAGAATAAATATTTAATTTGAGATAGAGCATGAGAGTCTACATTGCTTTTTTACTTATTAAACAAGCTTAATTGATAAACTTAAAATAGTTTGATAAAATCTTAGACATTCCAAATGGGTGAATCAAGAATGCTAATACTAAAATTAAGATCCTGATATTTACCTAAAAACCCCACAATCAGTGTTTACAAGAGAGTAAATTTATGAAATGGAATGATAGGGTTAATACCAAAAGACAAAATGAAGTATCATTTTCGTAGCGTGAGCGGAATTATTGTGGGAAAATGGTGGTAACGCGTGGCGCAGCCTGTGGCTTCCCAGCAATATATTGCTAAACAATGGATCAATCCCACTCATGATTCAATTTCCAAGAACCAAACGGAATGTGACATCTTAGACCTCCTCATGTGAATCCAATACCCAATATACATTATATCTGACAACAAATATTACAATATGAAAATGCAAATGCCACATGCAGATTGCAGAGCCTGCCATAATATAATCGAAAGTCACAGGAACCGATACAAAACTTGACAATATCACATGGAAAGGTACACAAATACAAAACCGTTGGGTAACTGAAACAACAGTGTCAACCCCCCCCCCCCCAAAAAAAGAATTCTGGTTGAGTACTTTATCTCTTTCAGCAATATGAGATGAAAATGAGGTATTATTACTTTTTAAAAAACCTATAAATTATTTTTTTCGAACACTACCCTTAAACCAAGTTTGTTAGAAAAATAGCCTAAAACTACATACGTAGAATTATCTCACGTTTTAAAAAAGGGGAGTTAAGACAATGTGTTATACGTGGCATGAGTTTCCTCCAACGTGAATACACTTTTCAGAGAATGTAATTTAATATTTTAATTAATGACCTCGTGTTACACAAAACGTGAGATTCCCGAGATATTGAAAAATCCCGAGAAACTTATCTCGTGTGATATTTAACATACCTCCCGTTATACAAAACGTGAGGTATGTAGTTTTCCAGCCCAAATCGCAAGTGCTTATAGGCATGTTTGAGGAGTACTTTTCGAGTATTTAATCTCAAAATTTTCGTAATTTATAAGATTAGAGGCGTAGTATTGGAATTTATCTTTCAACTGATGCCAATATTGAGACATATGTGATATTGTAAGCGGGTTAAAAATCGCATTAAAAATGGTTCCAAAGCTTGTTTTGTGTATGAAGAAAATGTTAAAATGGTTTGATAGACATATTCAATGAGTTTTTTTGGGTAGTTAATATGAAAATTTTCAGAATTTATAAGATTATAGACATAATATTGTAACTTATCTTTCAATTCAGGATAATATCGGCACATACGAAACATTGTAAGCAGGGTAAAAATCACGTTCAAAATGGTTACAGAGCTTGATTTTCTACATGAAGAAAAAGCTAACATGACTTGATAGACATGTTCGGGGAGTACTTTTCGGAAGTTAGTTTGAAATTTTTCGTCATTTATAAGATTAGAGGTGTAGTATTGATACTTATATTTCAATTTTGGTTAGTATCGACACATAGGAGACATTCTAAACAGTGTAAAAATCATGTTCAAAATGGTTCAAAACCAAAAAAAATATTGAAAACTAACGAATATATTTTTGTAATTACAAAAGTAATACATAATTTCGACTATTCAGTTATTTCTCTATATTCGACTAAATCCTCATCACAATAAATCCTAGTC